AGATGAAATGAGTCACCCTAATTGTTCCAGTCTGGATAATAGCGTTCCTGAAAATCCTGAGGACCTACCGCAAGATCACTTACCTGCTATGTGGATTCAACATCAGCTTTTTCTCAAATTCCAGGACTTCCAGTATCGCTCTGTGCAATCTGTGAAAGTAAGTTTAAGGTGGAATCACAGTTATAGTTTGATATAACAGATGTCTTAACAAATGTAGGACAGCACAACACAATCAGTGCCATCAGGTTGTATAAAATTGGTATGGATATAGCAATGTTAATTCCTCACTATCAGTATGGCAGAGGAGGGAGGAGGTATCCAGGTACTTGGAAGAATCTAATTGGTTTGACATTAAACCAGGGATAGCACCAGGACACTCTAATTAATGTAACTACTACAGTGAGCTAGAATGGTTATGGTGCTTACAATTTCCTTTTAATCATTATTTTCCCAAATTCACTACTTCTCTCTCCACTCCCAGCAAACCTAGCTTCCTTTAGTTTTCTTTACAATTTTATTGTGTCTGACTTTCTTTTCTAGAATTCTGGAGATATCTATGAAAGTAGCAGTGATAACAGATACATCATGACACCAGATGAAATGAGTCACCCTAATTGTTCTAGCCTGAATAATAGCGTTCCTGAAAATTTCGAGGACCTACCACATGACCACTTACCTGCTATGTGGATTCAGGATCAGCTTCTCAGAATGCAGGACTTCCAGTATCGCTCTGTGCAATCTGTGAAAGTAAGTTTAAGGTGGAATTCCAGTTCTAGTTCGATATAACAGATATCTTAAAAAATGTAGGACAGCACAACACAATCGATGCCATCAGGTTGTATAAAATTGATATTGATACAGAAATGGTAATTCCTTGGTATCAGTATGACTGAGGAGGGGGAAAAAATCCAGGTATTTGGAAGAATCTAATTGGTTAAACATTAAACCAGGGAGAACGGCAGGACACTCTAGTCACTATAACCACTACAGTGAGCTAAAATGGTTATGGTGCTTACAGTTCCCTTTTAATCATTATTTTCCCACATTCACTGCTTCTCTCTTCACTCTCAGCAAACCTAGCTTCCTTTTCACTACCCCGTGCTTCCTTTCCTTTATTGATCAATATGTTTCAGACTCAATCGTACAAACCCCCAACACCGTGGGTGAGCTTTCTAGTTGAGATTATGGCTGCTATCCCTTTATAAAAGGAGAGCGGGTTATGGCCTTCACAGTTTGCTCCATACATAGTTTCTGCTGCCTTGTCAAATTAAAATAAACACATATTTTAAAAAAATGAAAAGAATCATATAAAAATGATAGAAAGTATGAAATGTATACGATAATTTGCATTTCTTGATCAATTGAGTTGCTGAATTCTGGGTTTAGTAAATAAATCAGAGCGTTTGATGGTTTATCAAAGGGTAACAATCACTTCCCAGGACGTTTAATATTATATTTACTTATCCCTAAATTCAACGACTATCTGTTTGTGAAATGTGAACGATAAAATTAAACGTAGAAATCCACACCTCTTTATACTGTAACTGGGCGCCTCCATCTTAGCTCCCTGTCAGTCATCGTTAAAAGCTCCGCCCTTTGCATCTGACCGTCAGCACAGAGTGATCATACAGAAAGGAGGAGAAATGAAACAATGTTTCTATATGTCCTCTTCATTTGCATTGTGTGCCCTGGCTGTGCCAGAACTAAACAAAAAGAAAACAGAACATCTCATGAGAAACTGTTAACATGTATGTGATTTTCAATTTTTTATTCAATGGCGTCTGACTTTCTTTTCTAGGATTCTGGAGGTAGCTATGGATGTAGCATTGATAGCAGATTCATCATGACACCAGATGAAATGAGTGAACCTAATTGTTCCAGTCTGGATAATAGTGTTTCTGAAAATTCTGAAGACCTATCACATGACTACTTACCTACTGTGTGTACTCAGGGTCGGCCTACTCTCAGAATGCAAGACTTCCAGCTTTGCTCTGTGCTGGGTAAAGGGCAATTTGGGAAAGTAAGTTTATGGTGGAATTCGAGTTCTAGTTCGATATAACAGATGTCTTAAATTCAGGATAGCACAACACTTTATTCTTTAATTTCAGGTTCTGCTGGCCGAGCACAAGGAAACAACCAACATGTATGCCCTGAAATTCATAAAAAAAGTAAACTTAGAATCACCACATCAGTTCAACAAGTCAGTGAATGCAGTAATAAATATCTTGTGTTTGTGAAGAGGACCATGTCCTGTTTCTGTGGGGGGTTTTTTCATTTGATTTTAGAGTCGAAGAAAATAAACTTTTATTTTCCTTTCCAGCCTTCTGAGTGAAAAGCGGATATTCCAGACAGTGAGCAATAGGCGGCACCCATTCCTTATGAACTTGTTTGGGTGTTTCCACACCCGAGATCATGCCTGCTTTGTTATGGAATATGCAGCAGGGGGCGACCTTCTTACATGCCTTGATAACAACCATGGCCCATTTCCAGAACCCAGAGCAGTGTGAGTATAAGCAGCATTCTGTCCATTTATCGATATCTCATCCAATGTTCTACAGATGGTGGCTTGAGCTGGGCTACACCTTCCATAACATCTTGTCAGATTATGAATTAATTCTGGGATATCACACTTTGTTTAAATTCTGTGTTTATTTAGTTTAGAATGACTTTAAACTGTATAACTTTATATCCTATGAGCTGCTGTATATATCTTTACCATTATGTGTCAATGCTGGATCAGAGCAGTTACTTCTGACCACATACACCGCTGTCTGCACCAACTATGTCTAATGACTCTGCAAGTATCGGCATTGGTGAATTGAACCTGCTGTAAGTGATAAACAACCAATCACCATTGTATCAGCTCATACATAACACACTAGCAGTGAAAGACATGAGGAAACCTGGGAATTAATGTACTCTGTCAGAATACAGAGTTGGATATATGGAATAAAACCATTTAATCGTGCAAACACTGTATCTTCTAGAAAGCCATTCATTTATTTATTTTTCCCCAGATTTTATTCTGCATGTGTCGTCCTTGGACTTGAGTATTTACACGAACAAAACATCGTCCACAGGTAAGCCTATAAAAAAACAAAACTACACGTTATTTAGGTGTTATTTATGGCACACAGTCTGTCTAACCCAGTTTAATTATCTAGATTAAGTTATTAATTTTAACCAATTAAAAATCCTGAACAATGAGAGCTATTCTAAGTGCTTCTAGTGTTATGTAAAATAAATAAAACTTCCTTTTCTACATTTTAATCTAGAGATCTGAAGCTTGAAAACATTGTTCTGGATGAGAGAGGATTTGCGAAGATAACTGACTATGGTCTCTCTAAAGAAGGTAAATAGAATGCTCTAATATAATTTTAGATACAAAAAGGTCACACTTACGAAGTTCAAATCAGTTATCTTTCATTTAAACAGCCATTTAACATATAATAGGATGTCTATAAAAGGTATGCTTAATTCCAAAACTGACATAAAGGAACTTTATAACATTAAAAATAAGAGCATTTATTTTTAATGTAAATTATTCCTAAGTGAGCCTCCCATTTCTTTTCCAGCAATTTTTTATGAATGGGCAGTGACTGATTGCTGAGAGCGTCAGCTGACCGCTCCCAGACAATCAGCAGTCCCCCTGCCCAGTGGCACTCCGTGCTTCTTAAAACTGTAATTTCAGAAGCCAGATGCCGCCTGAGGGAAGTAGTGATTGGAGATGGAGGCTCACTTTGAGATTAAACAGTTCAAGAACGGTTTGACCACTTGAGATAGGCGTGCGCCCTGGAGGCCTCCTGGCACCATAACAACTTCAATTACATTTTTATGGTGCCCGGAGTGTAAGTGTATAAAGTACTTCTGTTTTATTTTGTTTTTATCAAACTAAATTTAAGTATTTTCCTGATAGTCAGACCCAGCCACGGTGCTGCCACTGCGATAATTGAAATTTTCGGATGGAAATGATATGAGAAGTTGTGGCAGCAACAAACTTAAAGAAAGTCATATCCAAATGTAAATTGCTAAAATTGAACATCTATCCTCAACTTATATACAATTCTATTTTCACTATTTCTGAGGAATTGGATACGGAGACAGAACAAACAGCATTTGTGGAACTCCTAATTATCTGGCTCCTGAAATGGCCAAGCGCAAGACATATACAAGATCTGTGGACTGGTGGAGCTTCGGAGTGGTTATTTATGTAATGTTAACTGGAAACGTAAGAACAATCTTTCATTAAGAATTTACAGTCAGATTTATAAAGAGACTCTGACAAGTATTTGCTTTTAACATTACAGCAATCTTTATTAAAAAGTTGCTCTATTTATTTTTGGTTTTGTTTTATTACTTTTTGTTGGCCTCCCCTCTTCCAATAATTCCTCTCTCTCCAACATTCACACCCACATTTGTATACAAACGTATCTCACCCCAAAACAGACACCCCCAATTAATTAACTCCTCCCTTCCAAACACAGACCCCACATTCCCTGACCGTTATTTTTGCACTCGTTTACCTGTCATTTTCCTTCAACTATTATATTCCAACATTTCTTTACAATGAACCCATCCTTATCCAAATCACATCTCAAATTAACCCCTCCCCATAATAGATCCAGACAGCTTCAATACCCTGTAATTAACCCCTGACCCTTGGTTCCCAAATCTAAATCTTTTACCAATGAATTATCTCCATCTTCTGCTCTGCCCCTGGTCCAGTTACTTAGTGCTCTGGTGGCTGACAATGTGTGCGTACATCGTGTGTAACCCTCTGTATACCACTTCTTTGTGAATACCTATACGGTCAGAAGATGTTTAGTAGTTCTGACTCTAATAAACATCCCACCTACTAACTTGCTTAAATGTTTTGTATTTAACTTTTTTTGTCTCCTGACAAAAAGAAAAAAGCCATCGTAATCCAATGTTACTGTACAAAATAAAACAAATAATACTAGATGACAATTTAAAAAGTAAATAAATAAAAACACCAGGAGAAAATTAATTATACAATAGACCATGGGTGCCAAAAAGGTAGATCTTCCATGATGCTTTTTCATTGTAAAGGTATGCAAAGCATCATGGGAGTTGTTGTTAGAGAGCATCTGGGGATCTACCTTCTAGGCACCCCCTGATATAGACCTTCCAGTCCTTTATCTCAGAGCTCAAAAATTGATATTCCCTGCGGTCTTGAAAATCGCTCAGCGTTTTGAAAATTCCAGCCAACCAAAGTGCATTTCCGGACGCGTTTCACTCCCCTGCGGTACGCTTGATGATGTATTTCACGACAGCGTTCAGTTATCTTTCACATATTATATACACTCGCACACACATGGTTGTTGAGTTGTGATATACACATTGTGTAATCTGTACTACGAAGATTATAAAACCCTAACTATTAATTTATTGTTCAGCTTTCAGCTACTACAATTTACAACTTATTCAAACCTTAACTGAGGTTTTTTTAAATGTAATTTTTCTCTAGTTACCCTTCGAAGGCCGTGATGTTGAGACACTTTATGCTAAAATTGCCAAATGTAAACTAAAAATTCCAGAGTCATTGTCTAGTGAAGCCACTTCAATACTGAGTAAGGTAAGTTGTCACGCAAATTTAATATATCATACAACCCATGCTGAAAACATCCATTCGCCATCAATGAGTGGAGATTCAGACCTAGCAAGCTGCCTTGAGATGGGGGAATTCTGTAGAATGGGCAGTAAAGAATGGAGGTCCGGCTGACCTTTGGGAGAGGAAATGTATCAGTTTTTTTATTTGATGTTTATACAATAGTTCTCTTATTGGTCATGCAAATTTTCAATGCTATATATTCACCTTGAATTGGATGTAGCTAGCTGTGTGTGTTAATGCTGGTAAAGAAACATTCATTATTACAGAGTATTAAAACAAAACCCGAAATATCTGCTCACTTATTCTATGACATCCATAAATGATGCAATATTACATCTAACACTCATTCTCTATAGTTATGTGACTCACAGCGCCCACTAGTGGCTTGTATAAAAACATAGTAGCAGTTACAAACCGTGTACAAACACCACCACGATTTATCCTGGCGTAAAACATTGCATTGCCAGCATCCCCCTCAAACAGTGAGATTACTACCCACTATATGTTTATTTATAATTAATAGCGATAATACACATTTTTCCTTTACCTTTGTTCTGTCCCTTTGAGTATAACGCTGAAGAAGTAAATACGAAAAGACAAAAATAATGCATTTCACATGAACAGTACTGAGCATTGAACATCTCAAAATACACTCAGCGCTGGTGCAAGGGTTCTTGGCTACACAGGCAAAAATCCATTTAGCGCCCCCTTTCACACTCTTCTCCCCCTGTTGTGCAGTTCTCACACAGATATCTCGTACCCTGGATGGAGCCGCACACCCACAGGACCTCCAACAGGGCCCGACTTACTGTTAATGTTCCTGATGTTTAGCATTAAAATTAACAAAACCTATTTTACAAAATTCCTTTTACAGTTACTGACTAAAAAACATGAGAAACGTCTAGGATCCAGTGAGAAAGATGCACAGGAAGTGAAGGACCATCCTTATTTTCAAGTACGTACATATGTTTTTTTGTTTTGTGTTTTTTACTGTGGTTTTGTCACTAAATATTTGTGTGATTTTAGGAAAAATAAAATCTTTGTAATATACTGAAATTCTAACACAGCCAAAAGAGAACATAAATTGGGATCTAAACAAAATGTGGCTTTTTGGGCATATTAGCTGTTATCTTGTATTTTATATAGTCTTGGTTTGTACGTGATGCTCATTATTTTACAAATTCCTTTCCAGCATATAGATTGGAACGCATTATTATTACAAAATGTGACACCTCCATTTGTGCCAACCATCAACGGAGCCGAAGATGTCAGCAACTTTGATGCGATATTCACCTCGGAAGCGCCTATTATAACTCCACCAGCAAGACGAAGAGTTCCACCGTTAATGGAGAAGAAGACATTTGAGGATTTTTGTTGGAGGGCAGATTGGAGTTAATCTCGGTTGTGATCCACAATAAGAATTACTGGAGAGAGAATTAGCATTAATATATTCTACCAATGAAATCATTTGTTGAAAACTAAAGTGAGAATTCAAACTGAATTTCAAATTTAGAGTTAAAAAAAAGAAAAAAGAAAAAAAGAAACATGCCCTCAGTCAGCTACGATTCCAGATTGGCTACTTTGGCTTTAAATTTGCAAATCACTTTGATTTCTCATTTTTGGAAATAACCCTGCAAATTGTTGAATTGTGTATACGTGTATTATTATTGTTGTTAAAATAAAATAAAAAATTTGACATTAAAAAAAATGTAAATTTAGACGTGAATCTTTGTGTAGCAGAAGAAGGAGGAATAGTACCAGGCTTGGGACCCAGACCTATTCCATCCAGCGTTCGTCCCTTCTCCTAAGGGGAAATATAATAGAGAGTCAGCCTTTCCTTCCAGCAATACCCGATTAGTAATGTCAGTGATCTTCCAGACAGAGAGCCAGCCTTTCCTTCCAACAATAACCGATTAGTAATGCCAATGATCTTCCAGACAGAGAGCCAGCCTCTCCTTCCAGCAATACCCGATTAGTAATAACAGTGTTCTTCCAGACAGAGAGCCAGCCTTTCCTTACAGCAAGCCCCTGTCATATCCACGCCCCCAAAATGTGAGTGTCTGGGGAATGTGGGATGACAGGGGCCAATGGGAGCAACTTTCATTTTTTGGCTCCCACTGCCCCTTTAAGAGCATGCCTGCGACGCGCGGCACGCTCTTAGAGCTAGGTGGAACACGTGACCGCATCTCGCGGTCCGTGCCCGCCTTCATTTGGGAGCTGCGCGCGGCGGGAAGTGAGGACCTCGGCCGGCCCCCGGGTAAGGTAAGTACCGCTACAACTGGGAAGGGAAAGGGCTAATCACTGTTCCAGTGTGGAGGATTCAACAGGGAAAGTCCTTTTAAGCACTAGATCTTCCAGGACTAAGTGTCATCCAGTGCCTGGGGGTGGATAGAGAGTTCCCCATTCAGCTCCATGAGGGAGCGGTTCCAGGACCCCAGTCAAGTCACGGCGACTGTGGGCAGAAGTGCTGCGGTATTATAAAATAGGAAATGCACTTACATTTATTGGAGCTATATATGTGGATCTGTTAGTGTGTATGATCACCTCTCTGAGGATATGTAGGTGGTGGGGGGTCTTCTCTGTGGTACTTATAAAAATATCAATATAGTGCACACTGTGTGATTGGGTGGGTGAGAGATGAAAATTCACTTAATAGCTCAGGAGCAAAGTATGGTTTTGCTCACTCAATAAGGTTCTGGTGGTACACCTCCCCACCTTGGAGAACGAAGTAGAAGAAATACGTGGAGTGCCAAAGTGAGACGGGATGGTCCAGGGTAGTTAGAAAATGAGTATCTTTTAATAAATACAATAAAACAAAGAGTTAAAACACTGATAATTAAAAGGAACACAATGTGTATCGCCACTGCATAGGGCTTTGTCAAGTGTCCTTGAAATTGAAAAAGCTCTATGCTGTGGTGAAACGCGCTGTTAATTTTGATTATAAGTGTTTTAAATGGAAAGACCCCCGATAGGCAGTACAATTACTAGCCTAATATACAATGATATAACAGTGGATGATGAATAGTCCTTTTAAGAATACATTTTCTTCCTCAGATCTTAAGAAACTCTTCAAGCAGTCTGGCCAGGATATAAATGGAAATTTATCATACCAAAACCTCAAGGACTCACTTGGGCCTGGCATACCACAGTCTTTAAAGGAATTTGATACCGATGGAGATGACAGATATTCCTTCACTGAACTGAAAGATGCTTTAGGTTTTTAATTGCTGCACCCGATACAAAGAATAGAGAAATCACTGAATTGAAACTATTCATACACATGTCCATTGACCTCAGGGCCAGATTAAGAGCCTAGTGGGCCTGGTTCTGACAATTATGATGGGGCCTAATTACAGAATTTTATCGACCAAAAACACTAAAACAGTCATACCTCTAAAGAGTCATGTATCTGATGGAGTTGGTGTTGGAGGGAAACTCAAAGGATACAGCTATAAGAAAACACATACTCTATGCTAATCTCTTTATCTAATTCATGCTTTCATCTTTCAAGTAAATCCATACCCCATAACAGCAGTGTCCATGGGCGGGGTAAAAGGGTGTGCCACTGACGCAATTCCCGTGACCAGTACAGCCAAAAGGGGCGAACATGCCCAAAAAGGGGGCATGTCTGTCCAAAGAATTGGAAGGCCAGCCTGGCATCAGTGTCCCTATGTATCACAGTGTCAATGTCCCCATGTCGCCCAATTCCCTAGTCTCCCAGTGTCTGTGTCCCCATTTCTCCCAGTGTCCCCATGTCTCAGTGTGTCCTGTATCACTAGGATACTAGGGGACACAGAGACATGGGGACACTGAGAGATCCGGGGACACTGGGAGACATGGGGGCACTCGGAGATGTGGGGGCACTTGTGAATACAGACATGGGGACACTGGGAGACATGAGGACACAGACATTTGGGGACACTGGGAGAAATGAGGAGACAGACACTAGGGACACAGACATGGGGACACAGACACTAGGAGACAGGAGGACACAGACACTAGGGACACTGGCTGGGAGGCATGGGGACACAGACACTTGGGGAGACTGGGAGACATGGGACACAAAGGACACAGAGACATGGGGACACAGACACTGGGAGACATGGGGACACTGAGACACTAGGGACACTGGCTGGGAGACATAGGGACACTGGGAGACATGGGGACTCTGAGACACTAGCTGGGAGTCATGGGGACACTAAGAGACATAGGGACACTAAGAGACATGGGGACATAGATACTAGGGACACTGGCTGGGAGGCATGGGGACACAGACACTTGGGGACACAGACACTTGGGGACACTGGGAGACATGGGGCACTTGTGGACATAGACATGGGGACACTGGGAGGCATGGGGACACTGGGAGACATGGGGACACTAAGGACATAGAGACATGGGGACACAGACACTGGGAGACATGGGGACACTGAGAAACTAGGGACAATGACTGGGAAACATAGGGACACTGGCTGGGAGTCATGGGGACACTGGGAGACATGGGGACATTGAGAGACATGGGGACACAGAGACATGGGGACACAGATACTGGGAGACTAGGGGATACTGGGAGCCATGGTGATAGACATTTGGGGAATCTAAGACACTAGGGACACTGAGAGACATAGGAACGCAGACACTAGGGACACTGGCTGGGAGGCATGGGGACACAGACACTTGGGGACACTGGGAGACATGGGGCACTTGTGGACATATACATGGGAACACTGGGAGACATGGGGACAATGAGACATTTGGGGACACTGGGAGACATGGAGACACTAAGGACACAGATACATGGGGACATAGACACTGGGAGACATGGGGACACTGAGACACTAGGGACACTGGCTGGGAGACATAGGGACACTGGAATACATGGGGACACTGAGACACTGGCTGGGAGCCATGGGGACACTGGGAGACATGGGGACACTGAGAGACATGGGGATACAGAGACATGGTGACACAGATACTTGGACACCAGGGGACACCTGGAGTCATGGGGACACTGAGACACTAGGAACACTGGCTGGGAGACATGGGGACACTGTGTCCCTAGTGTCTCCGTGTCCCAATGTGTCTCCCTATGTCTCACAGCGTCACCATGTGTCTGTGTCCCCATGTGTCTCAGTGTCCCCATGTCTCCCAGTGTCCCCACATCTCCCAGTGTCCCCTAGTGTCTCAGTGTCCCCTAGTGTCTCCCTGCTACCTTTCCCCCCATCCTTCACATACCTGAGCTGTAGTCTGTCTCTGCAGGCTGGAAGCTGTTGTCTGGATTCTCTGTGTTGTGTAGCTGCTCCCCCGCAAATCAGTGAGTAGAGAGAGGCAGGGAGATGCTGTAACTTCCTATCCCTGCCTCTCTCCTTACACAGTGACCCCTACTGGCCGGTGCTGGTATTGCAGAGTAATCTCCGTTTATATGGAGGAAAATACACGGCCAGGCAGCCTCCATTACCAGCTGTGCCTTAAAATACCAGTCAGGTGGTAAACCTAAGAGTAGTCTGTAAAAAAAAAAAAAGTAAAAAACATTTTTTTTTTACATTTTTTTTTTTACAATGGGCCTATTCCACGGGCCTGGGCCTGGAGCTGCAGCTCCATCAGCCCCTATGTTAATCCGGCCCTGGGTGGCAGAGCAGAGCAGACACTGATGGGTGACACAGAAGAAAAAACACAGATCGGGTGGCATAGAAAGACAGACATTGATGGGATGACATTATTAGCCCTCTTTAGACTCCTTGATACAAATTAACCAACTAGAATTGCACATGAGCTAAAATAGGTTCCTACTGGCACATCCCACAACATAATTTGCTATGTTCGGCATTACCCTGTGGAAGACACTCCCTATATTGACGGGGCATGCTTTCAATTATTCCCCTGCTTTCAAAATCAGAGCTAAACTCTCTGACTGATGCTCTGCATATGAAGGCCCTCAAACACTGTTGCTGCTCCTTATTTGCCCTTATAATTTTCCATAACAGCTCGTTTTTCTCAGTGACATCCATGGAAGACATACCTAACTTTGAACGATTTCAAATGAGCCCTTCTAACACAGTCTATTATTTATTGTTTGGTTATACGGTCTCTGACTCACGCAAAAATGGACCATGCTAAACTGTTTTGTTCCTGATTTATATATTTTTTTCCTAACTGTTACTTGGACTATATTGGCTCAAATTAGCTGGATTAGAAGATTTCAGCGTTCATTTGGGCTTATATAGCCTTAAATTTGAAATTGAATTATCAACAAATTCTCAGTTTAGCGAATAACCCAAACTGGGTCATTAGCTAAAGTAATGATTGCATGGAATACAAACTGAATTCATACTTAATGTTAAAGTTTAGTTTAAACTGGCAGAAATAGAAACACTATCCAAGTTGATTTAGTTTTCT